CCACGTCGGTATGCATCCTCATGCTCTGACAGGCCGAATCCCTCTGTCCAAGCAGCCAGAAAAGGGGCTCACTCCCTCGTTGGCATGCATCTTCCTCTTCACAGGCCGATGCCTGTGGGGGAGCACCCCCAGAGGGGCCTCTCCCCGCACTGCCTCTCCGCAGTCCTCGGTCTCCTGGAAGTCAGATGGTCAACCGGACCGAGCCTCCGGCTGCAGCAGTGGAAGGGCTCTCCGTTCCTCTTTTTGCCTCAGTTTTTATAAAGTTCTGGTCAGTGATTTTCGTCCTCTCATCCAAGCAGATGCCACAGTTTGCAGTCAATACCTTATTTGACATGCCAAATCATATTGTTCTGAAGTATTGCATATTTTTTACTGTCAGTCAAAGCCCACTGCTCATAACCGGCCTCTGCCCCACTGTGATCCAGCCTTGGATTCTACTTCCTCTTTTCTAGAAAACTAAACCATCTGAATACATAACAAAAATACAAGAAACTCACATCTGACTGAAATATCAAAATTCCATTATTGCTTTTAACAGAACAATCAGAATTACACACTGATTTCACACAAACTATCTGCTTTAAAATCGAAACATAAATCTTTATATTTTGAATACTTTGACTAACATGCATTATCATTGATTAGACATTGATCAAACAATTATCAGTCAAATCTTTACTTTTGTGCTTGAAACCATAATTTTTGTTACTTCCTCAGTATGCTGTCTCCTCTCTGTGTGGCAGACACATACAAACCTTTGCAGTTCCTCATTTCAGCAGGGATGTGTGTCTACTTCCTCTTGTGTGATTCTGTACTTTTCACTCTGTTAGATGTAAAATCACATTTTCCCATCCTTTCAATACAACCATTTCACATTTTATTTAACACATTCACTAATGATTATTTCAAACAAAACACACATAAATCATTTTATGATTATCTTTACTTATTAAAAGCTTAACTTTTCTAAGCTTTCTGCCACAGCATTTTAATAATAATTCCTTTGTCCTCTCTAACCTCCCTGGAACTCTTTCTCCTCTGCCTTCTCTGTATCTTGGTGCTCTTTGAGGCCCATTTTTACAACCTTGCTGACAACGGCTACAATCTGGAACGGCATTAAGCTGTTCACATTATATGCAAATATATATGTATATATTGTCTGCGTGTATTATTTATATACTTGTCATAGCTGCAACGGTGATGCGTCACATCTCTGCTTGTCCACTGAAAGTCATACAAAGAAAAAAGTGCTGGAAGCTAATATCTTAAGTTATACATTAACTTTGTCTTCTCAGTGAAGCCTTGTCTAGTTGAATACTTTGCTGTCATGTTTTTATTTACTTGTCCTTGAGACTCTTTGTATATATTTTAAATTTTACTAGCTACATACATGTATATTGCTGACTAAGAAATAAAATATTAACAGTTGTAGTAGCCTATTTTTCAGGTCTTCTTATCCGAAGGATTAGGTATTGTCATTTTGTAGTTATATTTAGGTCGTAACCCAGATGCCTTCAGGCCTAAGATCGCTGGTGGGGAGTCAGGAAAGGTCAAAGGATGGCACATCAAAGGATGCAGCTGTCAACGCTCCAGATGCCTTAAGAACTACTGCGAGTGCTTTGAGGTACACACTCACCCAATTTACTAAGATATTACAAGACTCATAAACAGACCAAGCAGCAACCACAGTGTCTGGGTGCTGAAGATAGTATGGAGGCACTGTAGGGCACATTCAGACTGACATCAGCCCACTGGCAAAACACTGCACTGTTGGTGAGAACATTGAAATAAAAGCCTGAGAATCCAGTTTAACTTGGCTTATTACAAGTAGAGTTATACTGCTTTCAAGCAGTATTTTATGAATATTAGCTTGCATTTCATTGGCCATTAAAGTGTAATACACAGCACAAAAGTTGAGTCGGCACCAGCTGTTTTCACAGGCATTGAAAAAATAGGGAGGCTGCATGTATTCATTCAGTTCTGTTGTTGATTTGAACATGACATTAGCCACATCTTCCAGTGGCTCCTAGATATTGGCTCCAACTATTGTAAGCCAAAACTTTATTGAAGTGAAAAACATCAGCTTTCTTTCACTATGCCCTCAGGTCTGGCTCCCACCTGTTACCATTAGCATGTCTCTCCTGCACTGACATTAGCCGTTGACAACCAGTGAGCAACAGTTTACCTACCCTAAACTCCCAGTACCCCATAGAGACCTTGTCTGCTTCTAATCAAATATCAACTCGAGACATTATTCATAAGAACCTCATTAAAATTATAACAACACAACTTAAAAAACAGCAAAACAAGACAATGAAACATGGGCTATTAAAGAAATCTTTCCTTGCCGCTGTCGCCAAGTGCTTGCTCAAGGGTGTTTTTCCTAAAATACTGAGGTCCAGATCTTACACTGTAAAGTGCCCTGAGATGATTGCTGTTGTGAATTGGCATTATACAAATAAAACTAATTGAATTAAATACTCATGTATTGTTATCCTTGTATCAATTTAATTTCAGTTTTATATATTCTGTTTTATATCCTTTGATATAATGACACCAGGTGTGTAGTTGCTACATACTTTTTATACGTTTATAAAAAATTTCTTCCATTTGTCTTATAGTCTCTTAGAAATGTGCACTAGAACACCAGTGATCACAATTTATCCAGAGTTATACTGCTGTACTTGTGTGCAGGCCAACATCAAGTGTACCTCCAGCTGTAAATGTGTTGGCTGTAGAAACTACGATGAGCGCTCAGAAATGGACCCCATAGAAAAGACTTGCAAGGACAAGTGAGTCTGTCTCCTTTGACATAGTATGCCACAGTACATCCCAGCAACTTTAGTAATAGTCAACTGTAATAGCAATGTAAGTCCTGTTAACTGTTAGGGTGAAAAGAACTTTCCTCACATAACACAGACAAACCCACCAAAGTCAGAGTTAGAAATAATGGGTGTCATATTAGAGTCATGGAAATAGAATTTGTTCTCAAGTGGCACATACTAGTGATTTCTTTGCAGTAGTAGCAAAACATGCTCATTGAATTAGCATTATTGACATCAAACTTCACATCAAGCCATTTCTGTCACAGCATAGCTCTGTGATGTCACAGCACTGACATTCTGCAGAAATCTTTTCTAGTTTTTCTCATTTTTCACCTGGTCCCTTCATGACACTACTGATGCTGCTGGCTTTTTCTTGAGTTTTGTTAACTTTTCAATAGCAACAAGATATTTTAGTGAATGAAACTTACCCACAAATGGAGTGGAACAAACAGCCTTTTACTGCAGTTTACAGCACTGATTATGCTAACAGGTTGTCTTCATCAAGTTAAAATGATTTTTGAGTATACAGCCAAGATTGTGCAATTAAGAGTTTGGTTAATGTAATTACAACAACAAGCAAACCTTTGTGTATCTGTGTGTTCAGAGGGCCTGCATCAGTGATAACCACTGCTATGGTGGAGGATGTGTGCAACCATCTGGTGGCCCAGGCTGAGAAGGCTGAGAGAGAGGGCCAGAGCCCCATTCAGGCTGAGCGCATGGTCCTGGTTGAGTTTGGACACTGTCTGACTCAGATTGTCAAGTCCATGTTCAAGGACAAGTGACACTGAGGAGACACCTGTGGACTTCATGTCCTCATGTGGTAATTTAAAACGGTTGCTTTATATGTTGGTCTGACAGTTGATTAAATTTGATGTTGTGATTTTGACTGTTTTGAGCTCATGCTCCTTTTACATTGCTATGGTACTACTTACCTCACTCATTCATCTCTCAATTATTCAAGAGTCCTGGATGTATAAGTGTTCAAAAATTATTTTGATATCTTTGATATTATTGTTTCTTAATTGGATGTGTTTTAGTTTAAAATCCATGGTTCAGCCCCTGTGGAGACTTTTCCTCTGGTGTTATTTCATGCTGTTCTGGCAGGGTAATGTTTCTGGCAAAAATGCTATACTAGAATGTTCTGCAAGTCCTCCTGGTTTGTTTGGTTTAAGAATCCTATTTCTGAGTTTCACTTTTGGAGGAAAATAAAGTGTGTTTCAACATTTCATTGGGTCTTATTTCATCACGTGCTGTGTTCTGCATGTCCGACCTACAGCTCAGCGTTGATAAGCACGCAAATGGGTAGCGAGAGGGGAGGTGGTGGCAGTGGTCAGAGCTCGCACAACTAAAATTTCTTCAGAAATTTTAAATTCTTGAGTTCTTTACAATTACATGATGAGAAATGTTTGAATAAACAAAAATTTCAACAACCTTAAAAACCAGCAAAATGTAGGCATTGGCTGGAAGCTTGTGTTACAGTAAATCAGGGCACACTGCTTTGATTATATCCTCAGCAGAGCGGGATTATACTGTTAGACTCAGTGCTTCAATTTACCATGGTAAACAGTAGCAATTGTAGTCCTTGAGTCCTCCATGGTCATTATCTGTAATTTTGGAGAGGCCTGCCAGTATACCAGAGACACTCTCCTCTGCTGTGGAGTCAGCCTGAAACACAAAAATGTGCTCATTGTGACATTTTATTAACTGATGGGGCACATGTAACAGTAGTAACTCTGCTACCACAAATTATAGCCTGACAGTCATTACTGCTGTATTATTCAGTCTGATATAGCATTTCCCCCCCAGTCTTTTATGGGGCAGGATTGTATTTTGCCTACATGTTAGTGGTGTTGTATCTCGACACCTTGACGTAATTTTCATCACTAAAGTTGCTTATCCAAAGTACAGTTAAAATAAGTGTACAGCAGTTATTACTGAAAATATAAACTCTTTATAATGAGAATTAACACACGACAAGATGTTTGATATTGAAATTAATTTAAATTAATAGCTGAGGCATGAGACAAAAACAGTCATTTTCATTATGTAAAATAAATATTCCCTCAAGTAAGACAAGGTTTCACTGTTACATACATATGAAAGTCATTTTATGGGGGTAAAAGTCTCCCATAACTAGTAACAAATGCATGCTTGACAGTGTTCAACTAAGGTCAATATTAAAAACAAACTGTGTGCATCTCATAATGATGACAAATTTGTGTTCCACAATCTACAAATAAAATAAAGATTTACAAATGTGTTTAAAAAGGATTTTCTGTGTGCACAAATGCAGATTGTTTTACCATCATGTGCGAGGTTTGGAGAATATTTTCTCACTCAGATCTACAAATAAATGCTGCATTTAAGGACAGGTGGGAAAGCCGGATGTTTGGCTTTTCAGGCTTTTTTTTTTTTTTTTTACAAATAGATAAAATTGCTCGTCACCTCTTCATTGATTTCAGCAGAACTCTCCTGGTTTGTTGCCTACTCCACCATTACCATTAGCCAGATTCAAAGAACCGCCACAGCTCCTGTGGTCACAAACTCCATAACATACTCTTGATTAGCATTACTTTGCTGCTCCTACACTGATGTGTGTCTAGGTTTTACAGATGTATTTTTCAGTACATTTCAATTCAGCTGAATTCAGTTTTATTTGTATAGCACCAGTTCACAACAGCAATCATTCCAGGGCACTTTAAACAGTAATGTTTAGGCCTATTACACTTTTACAGAGAAAAACGCAACAGATCCCCCTTGAGCAAAAAACTGAAAAACAAGAAACCGGTTGAAGTGAGTGGATAGATGAGAAAAAACAAAGTAAAAGCACTGAGTAAAAAAACAAAAAAAAAAACAAAAAACAAATACCAGGCAGGTTAATATAGACAGTGACTGCTTATCAGAAAAGTAGAGCTCCAGAGCCAGGGCTACCTGGAGAAAGGTACAAGGAGAGAGAGAGGACACACAGTTAGTGAAATGTAATGGTGGCATATAGAGGAGAGGAACATCATGGGGCCCCACAGCAGTCTGGGCCTATAGCAGCATAACTAAGGGAAGGCTCAGGGAAACCTGATCCAAGTCTAACTATAAGCTTTATCAAAAAAGAAAGTCTTAAGTCTAATCTTAAAGGTAGAGAGGGTGTCCACCTCCTGAACTGAGACTGGGAGTTGATTCCATAGGAGAGGAGCTTGATAGCTAAAGGCTCTGCCTCTCATTCTGCTTCTGTGGACTCTAGGAACCACAAGTAAACCTGCACTCTGAGAGCGAAGTGCTCTGTTAGGATGATAAGGCTCTACGAGGTCTTTAAGATACGATGGAGCCTAGTCATTAAGGGCTTTGTATGTTAGGAGAAGGATTTTAAATTCTATTCTGAATTTTACAGGGAGCCAGTGGAGAGAAGCTAATATGGGAGAGATATGATCTCTCTTGCTAGTTCCTGTCAGTACTCTGGCTGCAGCATTTTGGATTAACTGGAGGCTTTTTAGGGAATTATTGGGACATCCTGATAGTAAAGAGTTACAGTAGTCCAGCCTGGAAGTAACAAATGCATGGACCAGTTTTTCAGCATCACTTTGAGACAGGAAGTTCCTGATATTGCGCAGGTGAAACAAGGCAGTTTTAGAGACTTGGTTTACGCGTGATTTAAAGGACCTATCCTAGTCAAAAATGACACCGACAGTCTTCATAGCAGTACTGGAGGCCAGAGCTATGTCATCTATACTAACTGTATGGTTACTAACTATATGACCTTCAGTTTGTACTTTACATCACATTGTATTCATTTAGCAGCCACTTTTGTACAAAGTAACTTACAATTAGTCAGTTTAAAACATGTATGAGCAAGAACTAGGCAGCAGTGTTTAACAGTGTTTCCGAGGTAGGAATGAACATTTTGGAGCTTGCCCCATACTAGGGAATAAAAGTCAAAATACCTCAAGCACTGCTGCTTCTATTTTGACCATTCTTTTAAAAACCTTTACTTTTTGGAAAAATGTGTCTAAGAGCAAAGCTACTGGATATTTTTTGTGGTATCTCTTTCCGGTGTTGCACTTTGTAGAAGGCCCCCACGCAACCTTCTCACGGTGGCTGCACATATGCTATTTCATCAAAACAGCTTGTCTTGATGAAAATTAGGTTGTAGCTTGATGTCTGTCTACCTTCCTACAGCAAGTACAATGTTTTGTTTCTAATTTTTTGAGCCGAGAATTTTGAATCTGTGAATATTTCCTTGTAGGACTGGTTTTATGCTACTTTATTAAGTTGTGATATTTGTTCAGGCAAAAAGGTGACCATTTACATTTAGGATATCTGGTCAGTCTATCCGAGTAATGCATAGGCTTACTTGGAGATTTGCTTCATTTTCATTGATGTGAATACCAGCTAATGGACTAAGCTGCCTTCATCATGTTCTCTTTCCTCTTCGAACTCAGACTGCATTGAAATTTGCTGCTGTCTCGAACACTGGAATGCTAAAATTGTAAACCGATTACCTGTCCAATGAACAAATATCAGAATAGTCAAATAATTGGGTCCAGCCATAGAAACTGGAATACAGAATGAAAGAAACACTAATGGAATGAGCAGCTCATCCCACTTGCAACTCTTTAAGTATCAGATTTAAAGATGAGAAAATCTAACAACAAAGGGCATCAAATTGGTTGCAGAGTACAACAGCGTGTGGATAGTGACCAGTGTTGGTGAGGCACATAATCATCATCCAGCTGTGGGAAGGTACAGAATTGCTGTGTGTGCTGACTACTAATCAGATATCAATAACAGCTGAAATGCTATTGATGTTTGTTGGCTGCTAGTGTTTGAGCTGCAGTAGTAGTAGTAAGATATGGTGACCAGGGCTGACAACATTGATCTTGTCTAATGAAGTTTTAGCCAGGGTGATGGGTGTCACACTATTAGTGGATGTGATTCAGCAGCACTGCTACTCGAAAACACTGGTGGGAACACATGTTCTTCCTTCACTTTCTGTAGCTCTCTCTCTCTGTGACACTCTGTGTTCTAGACACACTTGTTTTTTTCTATGCACAGTTTCAAGTCTCAGAAAAAGTCTATAACATCAGTCATGTAATCATAAGAGCTCAGCAGAGAGGACTGAATATTGAAAATGTTTTTGGTCACTATACATTTTAACTAGAAAACTGAAAAATTACTTTAGGAGAAAACATAGGTAAGTTTTATGGATATGGATGAAACCAAGTTATAGTTCTCTGTGCTGACAGAAGTAATGAAATCAAGGCTTTAAATTTCTTTTAGGCAGTGGTCACAGAAAAGATAAACCCCAGAGACATGTTCCATTTTTTATTCCTGTTAAACTTTTATTAAAGGCTGTTCAATTTGGCTTCAGTTACATCATATATTACTGCTGAAACATGGCCCACTGAACAGGAACCAGGAAAAAAACCATTTCTTTCTTTTTTTCTCTTATTTTAATTGTATTGCACAAAAAGAAAGTGACATCATTAACAAGTAATTAACAAAAAATACCAGGGTAAGCAAACAACCACTAAAATGAAACCAGCAAAACCTCATCCTGCCACATTACCAAGGCCTGACTGTGGAGGAAGAGGCTGTGAGTGCTGGACTGGCCTGCCTGCAGTCCCCACCTGTCCCCAGTAGAGAATGCAACACAAATTGCATCAATGAAGTAGAGTAAGAGTAAGAGTAAGAGTAAGAGTAGAGTAGAGTACTTTATTGATCCCATAGTGGGGAAATTTCTGTGTTACAGCAGCAATAGAGAACAACCAACATAACACCATAAGAACAGGACTTCATAAAAACACAGAAAAGAACACAACAAGGACATAGCTGCTGTAACTTGCTGCCACTCGCGGTGCAACAAAGAACACTTAGTCTTAAAATAAACAGTTACACAAAGGCAACAAAAGACCCAGGACTGTTGCACCTTAAGACTTGTTTGCGAGAAGAATGGGACAAAATGACACCTGACACGTTTAATCACATGTCCTCAGTCCCTAAATGTCTTTTAGGGCTGTGAAAGGGAATGGCAACATCATGGTGGTAAATGCTTTACTGTTCCAACTTTGTTTGGAATGTGTTGCAGCATCAGAATTGAAATGTTTATTTTGAACAAAGAATAAAATTGATGAGGTATCACATAAAATAATGTGCTGCTGTATTGTTTTCATTGTATGAATGCTGATTCAGCATCCATACCTTGTTTTCCTGGTCTTTATTATTATTATTGTATGGATGCTGAGTCAGCATCCTTACTGTGCCATCCTGGTCTTTATTCTTCTTCTTTTTATTATTGTATGGATGCTGATTTAGCATCCCTAACATTGTTT